CCAACCTGCTCTGGCATTCCCGATATTGTAGACATTCACCTAGGGCTCCAAGTTCCACAAGAATGTTGGCCGTGTGGCCAACCTTGCAGCTAGCCTGCACTGTCCCCAGGCACAGTGGGGGATCCCAGACAAACTCTTCCCACCTCTGCAGCCCTCTGTGTCTAACGCTTTGCATCCCTGGAACCACAACCAGGTTCATCCATGGAACCTCTGCTTTGGGAAGCTCTCATTGGCTGGCCGATACCTGCAGAAGCAGCTGGGGACTTTTTTTTTTTTTTTCCAGGAACTCCCTGGGTGTCCAACATAGGTAGTACCTAGTGTAACCTAGCTGTTCCCAAGAAGTCATCCAGATATGTGCTGCTAATATTTAAACCAAAACCAGCAACAGGGTTGGCTGAAGCCAGGGTCTGAGCAAGCAGTGGGTCTATACACCAGGAACCCTGTCAGGTGGGATCCCAAAGTCCTTCAGGGTTCTGACATCAGGGCAGATAATTGGTAACACAGGGCAAAATGCACTCCTGGTGAATTTATACATTTCACTCCTTTCAGAAACAGTACAGCTCATGGATGGAAATCAACCCGAGAAAGGTACCGATGTCTGTAACTAATCCATCTGGAGCACAGGATATGAAACACCACTCTACCCTAACCCCAGCTAGAAAGAGGGTGAGAATAAGCAGAAGGATGTCTGATGAACTGCATGACAAATACTGTAAACTGTTAAATATTTAACAATTGTGAAATTAGACTATCCAGAGACAAGCTAAAAATTGCGTGATATGCTCAAAACTAGCAAATGAGGGAAAAGGTACAAACAGGATGGATAGATAGGTATAAGGAGGAATCATGTGAAATTATGTAACTTGGATCAGTATTAATTTTAAGCCAACCTTCAGAAGGGATCAGAGGAAGGAGTGGAGAAAGGGAGAAAAGTCTCTTGCAGGGCTCAGGCTCCCAACTCTGCAGTTCAACAACCCAGCTTAATGGACAGTGGCCTCAGACAATGGCTGTCCCCCAATATCTGCTCCCAGTCATCTGGAACAAAATCTACACCTCTGAACTTCCTGTATAAACAATTATGACTTCAGGATTAAGTTCTGGCCAGTGGGATATAATCAAAGGGCTGTGTGTGTGATTAAAAAAAAAAAAATGTCCTTAAAGGGAGGAGCAATGCCCTTCTTCAATTCTTCCTCCTTCCTGCTGGCTGGAATGCAGATGTGATAGCTGATGCTCTAGCAGCTATATTACACCATGAAGTTGAAACTACATGTCGAAGATGGTTAAGTAACAAAATTCTGTGTAAAGGAACCTGGTCCCTGGCATCCAGGGCAGCCTGCTAACCTTTCATGTCCTACTTCCAGGTCTCTTTAATGTAAGAGGAAAATACATTTCCATTATATTTCATTCAAACAATTACTGTTTGTTTTCTGTCTCACACAGCTGAACTGAATCCTAACCAATAAACAGAGGAAATGAGAATCCTTTTTGTTGGCAGTGGTAGGGCAAGGACTGTAATAGAAGTAGGGGTTCTCTGTGTTGGCAAAAGTGGGAGACAGACATGCAAGGAAGTAGGAGAGTTCTCTGAATTGGCAGAACTGGTAGTAGAAGAAAGATTGATTCCTGGATAAACAGACATGGTGAAGGAAGAAATGGAAGAATCAAAGACATCCCTGTAGTGACGGCTGTGGAGAGTGGGGTCACAGAGAATGTTTTGGGTCTTACTATATTGGACTATGTAGAGAAAGATATCATGGCTAGACAGGTGAGGTCACTCGGTCAACTAAGGATGGAGAGAGTCTCAAGGTAAAAAGAGGAATTGTTCCTGGAAGTTCTATCCATTTTCAAGAACTAAAATCCTTGCCTATCTCCCTTCATGGCAAGAGGTGTCCCTGTTAATTCTTGTACCTGCTGACTGCCCACAGCACCTCCTGCTAACCCACATAGCCTGTTGGTCCTCAGGAGATCAGTTTAGACTGACTGTGGGGGCACCTAGCAAAGCTTTTCTCCTCATGTGGTCCTCAGACCACCCTCATGCAACTGTCCTGCTAAAAATGTAGACTAAGGACTCCACCCAATACCAAATGGATCATCCACTCTAAGTGGCCCCAGTGATCCTGACATAAACTCAAGTCCATCATTTTACACATGGGAAAACTGAGGCCCAGACAAAAAGTATGACTCTCCAGAGGTCTCACTGCCAATCAGCAGAGCATTGGATGAGAACCCAGGAGTCAGGACCTCCAGTAGACCACAATATACTCCAATAGCCTGTGAATCTCCCAACACCTAAAAACTCTCTGAGATGAAAACACAATCTTCATGGTCTCCATCCTTCACAATCCCAGGACGAACTGCAGGATGAGGAAAAGATGTCAGCACATCTCTCCGAGGTGCTTGTGGCTGCAGAGCCCCAGCCTCCTTCTGCAGCACCTAACTGGGAGGCACAAGGCCTACACGCACTAGGACTCCATGCAGACTTGCAGAGTCATCAGACTGGACATTCAACTGAACCCTCCCTGATCCAGGGTCTGGGGAAGCACATCAGGAGCTCCAGGAGCAGTACACTCTCCTTGGATTCCTACCTACTCCACTTCTGGGCCTGTCTGCCCTTCTTCCCATCGTCCCAGGCCTAGGGAGTGGGGAGGAGAGTACTGACATAAATGGCTCCATCCTCTTCCTGGCCCAGATTTTTTAGCATCTTTGGAAACTCCACTTCCCCTTCCCTATCCTGTTGGCTGACCTTCCATAGTGTCCCCTCAACCCTACCCCACCCCCAAAAAGAATAAAGTTCTGACTGGCTTCAGAAGTCTCCACAACCTGTCTTGCCCACAGATCCCTCACAGGAACTGCACTGCTGATGCCACACCCAAGCAGGCAGGAACTGCCCTTGTCCTTGCACACACATCTTAGCACCTTTTCTGGCTACATCCACTTACCAAGATCCAGATGAAAATAGGGTCTGCCTCCCTGGGAGATTCCAGCTCACCCTAGGTATCCTATCCTTGACTCCAGCAGCAGGTCCAGCCTAAGGTCAGCACTGACCTTTCTGAGGCAGTCTTTGCTGGGCCAGCTCCTAGAACATGTCCTGTCCTTTCTCCTCCTAAGATATCTAAGATACCACTAGTTCATAACGCTGGTCTGTACTCTGTCCCTGCCCTATCTCCATGGTATACGTCTAGGGACTCTTGATTAGAGAAGTCAGGTGAGGCTGTATGTGGCAAAGCCAGTTTGGGAAAATGACATGGAGGCAAGCCCCCATCACTACAGGCCCAAAATCCCTGCAGCCTTAGGCCCTGGACAGGCCTCTGCTCATTCATTCAGTTGGTTCTCATCATTCTAATAATTAATAATTACTAGGCTGGGAAACCTGCCTCAGATCCCTTTCTCCTGCAGCTACATCGACTGTCCATTTTTCGGTCCCCTATCCCCACCCACAGCCCTTATACCTGCTCTTCAGGGAGCTGGACTGAGGGAGTGATCTGACCACTGGGAGAACCCTCAACCAATGGGGTCAGGTCGCTGAAGACGGGATGCTAGGAACTTTGGTGTTCATGCAGGGGATTTGAGGTGCCTGAAGAATGGAACATGGAAAGGCGGAAACAACCGGAAGAGATGACAAGGGAATAACCTCCGCATCGCCCCTACCCCCATCCCACTCTCCGAGACCGGAGCGGTTGCCTTCTGCGCCACCTGGCGGCTGCAGCCCGCGAACGGAGTACAGGCTTCGCGGGGCTCCAGGGCTTGGGGAGGCCGGTTCCCGCTCGGCACCGGCTGGCTGGGGGATGCCCAGATTGGAGAACCAGGACTGCGCGGCCCACGGAGAGCCACGTCTCTGGATTCGGGCGGACCCCACAATCCACGCAACACCCAGCACTCGGTGCCCTCGGCCCCTCGCGGCGGTAGACGCAGAACGCAAGAACAGCGGTGCGCCGGCGGCCGAGGGAGCGTGAGGGCCCGCGCCCGCCCCACGCAGAGCCCGCACCTCCGCGCCCCGCACCGCCACGCGCACGCACGCCCCGGCGCTCGCCAGTGCTGGTAAGTCTTCCACACAGCGGGACGCCAGCTTGCGAGCCCGACGCCCGGAGAGAGGAGGGCCCCTTGGTGCGGCGCACTTGTGCGGACACCGCCTCACACTTTTCCACCTTCACCTCAGGCGTGAGATGCCGCAGCAGGCACACGTTTCTTTGGGCAAGCCCGTGGAGGGCAGGATGTAGGGGTCTATGCAGCCCGGCCCCTCCGAATTGGCTGGGGGCGCCGGGGCTAGGCCGCACCCAACCTGCAGGCCGCGGCGGCCAATGAGAGCCCGGCCTGGTGATGTCATGCCCCGACCGGACCCTGGTGACGAAGTCCGAGGTCACCCGTCAGCGCAAACCCACCCGCGAGGGTTCCAGAAGTTTCCACTGAGGCGGCGGAGTGAGGCCTTCCACCGCAGCCTTGCGCGTACCATCACCTTGGCTTTCCTTCTGGGGTGCCCCGGAGTCATTCCCCCGCCCCACCCCCGTCTCCTTCCTCCTTGGCGGCCCCCTTCATTTTCACTCGTGATCTCATGTTCACATCTTCATTCCCACAGGTGTGCCCTCGTCCCCAAGATTTTACACCAGCGCCACCCGGACCTCTGATGGGGTCCTCAGCCACACTTTCGGGTGCTAGTCCCCCAATGCCAACCCTGCAGTTTCGTGGCCAAGGATGCTCATTTATTCGGCCACCGGCCCCGACCGAGGCTGTCGCCGTATCCAAGTGTGTCCGTCCGTCTGTGAATGTCGGTCACTGTGTTTGTGGCAGTCATTGCATGAGACCGTCCATCGGCGTGTGTCTTTCTTCGCGGGATTCTCTCTGTCGCTGTGGGTGTCTGCTCCGCCGCTGCGAGTCTTTCGGTCGTGTCTGTCCGTCTGTCGGCGTCTATCACTGGCGTCCGTCTGGGCCCCGGGTTCTCTGGGTCTCGGTTCCGAGGGAAGGAGGAGAGGAGGTGGCAGCCCGGGGCGGTGGGGAGGGGCGGGGGCGGAGACAGTGGGCGGAGGCGGGGGCTCCGTGCGGCCCGGAGGGGGTGTGTGCGGGGGGCCGGAGGCGGTGGCTGTCAGAGTCAGCTCAGCCTGCGCGGGGGAACGTCCGCTGCCTCCAGCTCCCGGCGCGGCCCGGCCCGGCCCGGCTCGGCTCGGCCGCCTCAGGTGAGTCTCCTGCCCTGCCCAGGACCCTCCCTCAGTCCGCAACCCATTCCGCGTCCGGGGAAAGATGCGCTCCGGGAGGGATCCAGAGCCCAAAACCGGACGCTCACTGTGCCCCCGGACCTGTCCAACGACGCCCCCCGCCGTCCCACGCTCATCTTTAACTCTTCCTTCGCCGCCACAGACTTACGGTCGCCCTCACGGGAGCCGGCACCCCGCAGGGCTGGCCTTCACCACTGCTCTCCATTTCCTGTGGGGACTCCGGAGCGCCCCTTCCCATGCTCGTTTCCAAGTCTGGGGCCACTAGAAGACGCCCCCTGCTTGGGGCAGAACCCTGGCTGCGCAGGTTCCTGGTCCCTGGCTGGGCCTCCTCTGATCCCGCAACCCCAGCGCCCCTGCGCAGCGTCCAGCCAAAGCCCCCTCCCAGGCCCAGGCATCCCCCTCTCGCGGGGACTCCGTCTCTATTTTGAGGATAGGGGAGGCTCAACGGAAGCTCCGAGTTATAATTAGCCGCACTAGGATTTCCTAATTAATCTCAGCACTACCACCACCCCAGCTCAGGGAGCCGGAGGCTGGGTGAGGGGTGACCGCCGCGAGAGGGGGGAGTTCCGACCCGGGGAATTTTGATCCCTTGGCTGGAGATGCCGGAACCGCAGCAGCTGCTGCCTCAAAATAGCGCCCCCGCCCCTGCAGCCGGGGATCTCCGGAGCTCCGAGAACACAGGCGTCCTGGCTCACCCTTCAGACCCCTCTTCAATGCCTGCGAGCCCCCAGACCCACGCCCCAGGTTCCCAGCTCCTGGACTCGGGGCGGGGAACGCCGTCCTTTTCTCGGTCTCTACTGCCCCCCACTGGCGGCAGCGTGCGCAGCAGCATCGGATGGATTGGGGTCGAGTCCCGGGGTCCAGGGCTTTCGAGCCTGTTCGCTAAAGCTAGGCGATGGGGTGCACAGCTAACGGGCACACCCAGATGCCAGCGCGCTGTACCAGAGTGGATGAGCCAGGCTAGGCAAGGCAGTGTGTGGAGGAGGATTTGGGGTGCCCTGGGACCTGTGGCTCCCATATCCTGAATGCCCAACCCACCCTCACCCCCCCCCCAGAACCCCGGCCCTGGCCAACGCGGGAGAGGCTGCGTGCGCCTTTACGCCACCACACAGGCGGGTTGGCGTCTCCTGTCAGCGAGGGCCCCACCCCTGTCGGGTGGCCTATAAGTGGACTGCGGCCTCTGGTGCCTGTGCTCGCACTGCTCACACTGGGCCTAGCCCAGTCTACTCAGCTAAGGGAAAGCGGTGAGGGCGGTGGGC